CTCCCCGCAGGCAGCACCCCCCTGGGCTGCTACCGCAAGCTGGCGGAGTACTGCCGGAACGGGGACCTGTCCTTCCAGTACGTGAAAACCTTCAACATGGACGAGTACGTGGGTGAGTGCCCGGCGGGGTCTGTGCCCTGTGCTCCCCCCCGCTGTGCGGGGCAGCCCTGGGCCCGGTGGGTGCAGAAATCCCTCCTGGAAACCATTTCAGGTAAGGAGGATAAAATCCGCGCTCGCCAAGGGAGTTTAACAGGAACGAGGGGCAACAGGTACAAGTTAGAACATGGGAAGTTCCATTTAAATATGAGGAAAAACTTCTTTACGGTGAGGGTGATGGAGCCCTGGGACAGGCTGTCCAGGGGGTTCTGGAGTCTCCTGCTCTTGGAGATATTCAAACCCCATCTGGTTACAGTCCTGTGGGAAGTGCTCTGAGTGATCCTGCTGCAGTGGGAGGGCTGGACTAGATGATCTCGGGGGGTCCCTTCCCACTCCAGCAATTCTGTGACTCTGTGACAACGTGAAAACCTATGGAAGAAGTATGAAAGGGTCTCAGCCTTGCTCAGCATTACCCACACTACACACTGCTGCATTTTACCTGGGCTTGGGCTTTGGCCAGGTGAGCACCCATCTTATCACTGCTGAGCTAGTATGTGGTGTTCACCACCACCTTTGCTCTGGGGTTGGGAAGGTCACTTCAGCTCCAGGGCTCTTACAAGACTCATGTGATGATACCCTTCTACAACCAACATGCATTCCTGTAAAGATAGCAGAGGACTGCCTGATTTATGAAGCTGTGATGAAATAGTCTCTTCAGAAGAAGGATTTGTGGGCAACCCTAAAGCTCCAAAGGTGAAAAAAATACAGGCTAAATATTTGCTAGTTCTAATTTTACTCTGGTCAAGAAGTTCTTCTGTGGACAACTCTAATCAAGAAGCATTTGAGAGGAAAAAAAGTAATGCAGTGAGTTTTTTTCCCAGGCTTCTGCAGTTTTTAACTGCCTTTACTAATACAAACTGGTAGGAATGTTTGCTTTTCTGGGATATGTAACCCATAAGTATGAGCATGTTGCCCTACAAGAGCCCGTGTGATTGATTGAGTTTTGCTTTTTAGGGACATAAAAACTCATGAAAGCTGAGGGCATCACAAATGACAGGGGTGAGGTGTGTTATGTGTGATACTCAGTCTGTACGTGCTCTCTTACCAGGTCTCCCAAGGGATCACCCAGAAAGTTACCATTCCTTCATGTGGAATAACTTCTTTAAGCATATTGACATCTCGGCAGAAAACGTTCACATCTTGGATGGCAACGCACCTGATCTACAGGCAGAGTGTGATGCATTTGAGGAAAAAATCAAAGCAGCTGGAGGGATTGAACTCTTTGTTGGAGGTGAACACCCCGAGGCGTGGCAGTCTTGGGGGGCTGGCAGGGAGCACTGCCTTCCCCCCACCAGCTGTGTTAGCAGGAGAGTTCCTGATTTTCAGTGCAGTTCAGTAGGTCTGCACTGGAATCCACCCCATCCACTATGGCCCTGGGTGCCTGTGTGCTGGCAGCCCTACCTTCCAGTGCACTGCTCCCCCAGGTTTAATTGTTTCAGTCTGGAAAGTGAGTTGTTCAGGAAACGACGAGCAGGAGCCATGGGCAGGGCTGGGGTTGTACCCAATACAAAATGTTTCACAAGTGCCAGTGCCAACAGGAACCTGCTTGCAGTAGTCAGGGGGGCCTGAGCCAACAGGAGCTCAATGCCAGCTTTTCCCATCAGTTTGCCCTGAGATTCTGCCATCTTCCTGCTGCCCCAGCACAAGCAGGGAGGGGTCTCTGTTGGCTTCAGAGGCTTTTGCAATCATTCCTACCAGAGCAGAAGAATTTCAAGTGTTCTTCTCAGATCTGTATCTGTTCCTGGAATGTCCTCCTCACAGGAGTGCTGCTGGCTCTGCCTCCTGCAGTACCACTGCAGCCACTGTCCTACCTCTCCACCTCTCTCTGCCACAGGTATTGGCCCGGATGGTCACATTGCCTTCAACGAGCCTGGATCGAGTCTGGTATCCAGGACACGAGTGAAGACCTTGGCTATGGACACTATACTGGCTAACGCCAGGTTCTTTGATGGTGACCTCTCCAAAGTCCCCACAATGGCTTTGACAGTCGGAGTGGGCACTGTCATGGATGCCAGAGAGGTTAGGAGAGAAGCAGTGGCTTCACAGTCCAGCAGGGCTTCCTGCAGCAGCTTGAGATTGCCCAGCCCGTGGGCAGCATTGCACCCTGCTGGCCTGGGCCTGCTCCTGCTTTCCCTGCCACAGGCAGCTGAAGGCCTGAGAGGGTCTTGGTGTCTCCTGTTTTTGCTCCTCTCA